GCCGGCGGCGCATCATCGCACGTTATCTTTCCAACGCCAGCCGTAACCAACATAATATATTTAGCATATCGGGAGCGAGATGGACCTCCGATGGGGCAGAGAGAGAGAGAGCTGCCCGCCGCGTGAGGCGGTGGAGCAGATTGACCTCGCCCTGTTCGTGATGGAGAATTTCGCCAGGCTGGCCGCAGGCCCAGTGCCCCTCCTCCACCTCCACTGCCGGACGGTGAGGACGGGAGGGAGGGACGGGAGTGATGATGGTGATGATGCTTCTGGTGGTGATGCTGATGGCGATGCTGGTGATGGTGATGATGATGATGGTGACGTTGCTGCTGCTGCTGATCCTGCTGATGATGGTGGTGGTGGTGGTGGTGATGATGATAATGACGACGATGATGATGCTGGTGCTGATGCTGATGACGGCGATGATGATAATGATGATCATGGTGGTGGTGGCGATGGATGGAGATGATGATGGCGATGCTCATAATGTTGATGTATATGCTGTTGCTCATGCTGGTGATGTTGACCACGCTGGTGATGATGACGATGGTGATGGTGATGATAATGATAAGATGATAATGGTAATGTTGATGGTATTGATGATGATGCTGCTGTTGATGATGATGACGATAGTGATGATGATGATGGCAGTAATGGTGGTGGTGAGCATGAGGATGTCCACGATGAAGATGGTGATGACGACGATTGTTATAATGATGGCGATGACGACGATGTTGATGATGATGTTCATGGTGATGGTGGTGATGAAGGTGATGATGGTGATGATGATGCTGATGCTGGTGCTGCTTCTGATGCTGCTGTTGCTGCTGATGATGGTGGTGGTGGTGATGGTGATGATACTGACGACGACGATGCTGATGCTGATGGTGGTGTTGATGGTCGCGATGGCGATGATGATGATAGTGGTGGTGGTGGTGGTGTTCGTGATGGTGGTGGTGATGATGGTGATGATGATGGTGATGATTATAATGCTGCTGCTGATGCTGCAGCTGATGATGATGGTGGTGATGATAATGATGACGACCACGACGATGATGACAATGATGATGCTGATGATGATGACGGCGATGATGATGGTGGTGGTGATGATGGTGATGGTGATGATAATGGTGGTGATGCTGATGTTGATGCTGATACTGCTGCTGATCTTGACGACGACGCTGATGATGATGACGTTGACGATGCTGATGATGCTGATGTTGATGCTGCTGGTGATGATGATGCTGATGCTGATGATGATGCTGACAATGATGATGATGATGACAGTTGTGATGATTATGATGATGACGATGATGAAGACGATGAGGATGACGATGATGATGACGATGTTTCTAATGATGCTGATGGTGATGATGATGATGACGATGATGATGGTGATGATGCTGATGATCATGATGATGCTGGTGATGGTGATGATGATGATGATGACGCTGCTGTTGCTGATGATGATGGTGGTGGTGGTGACGATGATACTGTTGACGACGACGATGATGATGGTGGTGATGATGATGATATTGGCGATGATGATGGTGGTGGTGATGGCGATGGTTGTGGTGATGATGCTGATGGCTACAATGAGGATGATGCTGGCGATGGTGACGATGATGGTGATGATGATGATGCTGCTGCTGATGCTGCTGCAAATGATGAAGATTGAGGTTGTTGTGATGATGATGATGACGGCGACAATGCTCATGGTGATGATGATGATGATACCTGTCGATGATGGTGATGATGATTATGGTGACGATGATGACGATGATGATACTGATGATGATGACGATGATGCTAATGCTGATGCTGATGCTGATGATGACGTCGCTGATGTTGATGATGACGATTATGATGACACTCATGATGCAGATGGATGATGATGTATGATGATGCTGATGACGATGATGATGATGATGATGGCGATGCTGCTGATGATGATGATGATGATGATGTTGATGATGATGATGATGGAAGGGCGGGGGTGCTGCTGCTGATGCTGCTGCTGATCATGATGGTGGAGGTGGTGATCATGATGGCGACGACGACGGCGGTGATGACGACGATGCCGATGGTGATGATGACGGCGATGATGATGGTGGTGATGGTGATGGTGATGGTGATGATCATGGTGGTGATGATGGTGATGATGATGATATTGATGTTGATGCCTATGATGATGACGACGACGCTGATGATGATGACGGTGATGACGGTGACGCTGATGGTCATGATGATGGTGATGTTGATGCGTACGATGTTGATGATGCTGCTGATGATGACGCTGGCGATGATGATGATGGTGGTGGTGATGATGATGGTGGTGGTGGTGATCATGATGATGATGACGATGCTGAATACGACTAGTTCAATCATGATGATGATGACGATGATGATGATGATAATCATGATGATGGTGATGATCATGCTGCTGATGATGGTGATGATGCTGATGATGATGACGATGATGATGCTGCTGATGCCGCTGTTGCTGGAGATGATGACGCCGACGACTGATCATGACGACGACTATGATGATGTGGTGATGGTGATGACGGCAATGATGATGGTGGTGGTGATGGTGATGCTGATACTGGTTATGATGATGGTGATGATGATAATGATGCTGCTGCTGATGCTGCGGCTGATGGTGGTGGCTGTGTTGGTGATGATGGTGTCGGCGACGACGACGACGATGGCGATAATGATGATGATGTTGGTGATGATTATGACGGCGAGAATCGTGATGGTTGTGGTGATGATGACGATGATGACGATGTTGACGATGATGATGATGTTGATGCTCATGCTCAAGCTGATGATGACGACGCCGACAACGATGATGAAATGATGCTGATGATGATGATGGTGATGAGGACGATGATAATGATGATCCCGATGCTGATGATGATGCTGATGACGATGCTGATACTGGTGATGATGATGAATGATTATGATGGTGGTGGTGCTGATCATGAGGATAATGCCGATGATGATGATGATGACGACCATGATTATACTCATGATGATGATGACGATGATGATGATCATGATGATGATGGTGATAGTGACGATGATGGTGATGATGATGGTGATGATGCTGCTGATGATGGCGGTGGTGATGACCACGACGACGGCGACGATGCTGATAATTGTGGTGATGATGAAGCTGATGGCGACGGTGATGATTGATGATGAGGGTGATGATGATGCTGATGGTGCTGATGATGATGTTGCTGCTGCTGCTCATGGTGCTGCTGATGGTGGTTGTGATCATGATGATGACGACGATGGCGATGATGATGATGGTGCTGATTATGATGGCGGCGATGATGATGATGATGATGATGATGATGATGATGATGATGATGGTGGTGGTGGTGATGGTGATTGTGATGTTGATGGTGATGTTGATGGTGATTATGATGATGTTGTTGCTGATGCTGATGCTGATGATGACCGAGACGGCTCTGATGATGATGATGATGATGATGATGTCGATGATGATGACAATATTGATGATGGTGATGATGCTGATGCTGATGATGCTGATGACGATGATGATACCGTTGCTCACGATGATGGTGGAGGTGTTGATCAGGAGGATGATGACGATGATGTTGATGGCTATTGCGATGATTCTCATGATGATGATGAATGATGCTGGTGATGATCATCAGGATGATGATGGAGATGCTGATGATGATGATGATGATGATGATGATGATGATGATGATGATGGTAATGATGATGGTGATGATGATGCTGATGCTGATGCTGGTGTTGTTGATGATGATGATGGTGGTGATGATGAAACGACGACGACGTTGATGATGATGACGGCGATGATGATGATGGTGGTGATGATGATGCTGGTGATGATGAGGACGATGATGATAATGCTGGTGCTGATGATGACGATGATTATGATGATGATGATTATTAAGATGTTGTTGATGATCAGAATGATGATGGTGACGGTGCTGGTGATGCTGATGATGCTGATGCTGATGATATTGATGACCATGATGATGGTGAGGATGATGATGGTTGTGGTGGTCACGATGGTGGTGGTGGTGATCATGATGACGATGATGATGTTGATGGCGATGATGATGATGCTGCTGATGGTGATGATGCTGATGATAATGTTGGTGGTGATGATGGGTAGGAGGACGAGGAGGAGGAGGAGGAGAACTCTGGCGTTGCCCAGCTTCTGTGCTGTACGATTAACAGAACCGGCGCCCTTTTCAGTTGCGGCCTCTGGGGGCCGTTATCGGGCCCTTGGACTGTCCGAGAAGTACGTGGGATGAGACATTTGGTTCAGATGGGGGACCCCGCTTGAACGAGAGCCCCCCTCGGTGTTCGACAACCCGCACCCATACCCATCGCGCCCTCTCACTTTGCTCTTCCCTTTTTACCCTTCCAGTTGAGTGTGTGTTGGTCTTTCGTAAGCTGCTGCTGCTGCTGCTACTCATCTTCATGTTGCTGGCGCCAAAGAGAAAGAACTTCCCAACACGTGAGTAGGCTGCAGGGTCTTACAGACGATCCGAATCCTAGCCGCTGCGGGAGCACCCTGGACATCTGGAATACTCGAGCAGAACTCTTGCCTGACGTGTCTCGGCGTTCTTAGCCTCAGAGGCCGTGTCTGGGCCCCAGGACTGTCGAAGATCGACGCGGAGGGGGCCGAGAGCTCTTTCCGGGGGCCCACGCCAGGACGAGTCACGATGGCAGAGGCTTGGTATGCAGTTTTGCGTCAAGGGTGTCCCACTCTTTCACGGCTTCCGACGCTCTTGCGTTCCAGTTTTCCGACGAAGTGGCCCCTTCTCAGCGCAGTGAGAATTGGTATCAGGCCCTCGCCGCGGGGATTTGTTCACTTAGTGGGGCAGGGCCTCTCCTAAGCCTTTGAACTCAGTTCTTTGCGTTCCCACGGTGTAGGCCTGTCACGTAACTTATTTGGATCATTTGTCGGTCCTTGCTTTTCAGTCGCAGCGTAATCATGAACCCGTCGTCGCCACTTCAGCTGCAATACCAGCGGGTACGCCAAGTGTCGAGCGTTGTGTTTTGCTCACCATTTGCTTGGGATGCCAGACGGCATGCTCGGTCCGCTTTCCGCTCGTCTGATCCCGCCGAGTGCTACGCGAGTGTTGCTGCGGCTGTCGAGCAGGCGCCAGGTTGCGTCCCCAGCGCCCGTGACGTCCACAGTGTGCTCAGAGCAGGGAGGCGGGAGGGAGGAGAAAGGAGAAGAGACAAGCTAGGCGCGCTCGCGCAATATCTGACATCCTACCCCTCCTCATCCCTTCCCATTTCGTTGATGTTTGTCTCCGCTAACGGGTGCCATAGTGGACCTGAGACCCCGAACAGGACACGGAGTGAAGATGAGGAGGAGTGGCAGATGGGTGAGGGAGAAGAGGCGCAGCTAGCGCAATGTTGCCTGCGGTATTTATGTAGCATCCTGGTTCGTGTCTCTCATTCTGTCGATTGCGCTGCGTACGCGGGGGGGGGGCCAGCGCGACCCCGGTGTGCAGTCTGGTTGCCAGGCCAAGACCGACCTGTGCTCTTCCTTGCGGCGACCTTTGGCTTATCGCAGATTGCGGTAGAAGGTCTTCGAAAAGACCAGGTGCCGTTTGCTAATCGCTTGCCATGTCTTCAAATCTGTGGGGCAGCATCTTGAGCTATATCTGATCTATGTGTTTTCGGAAGCACTCGAAGCAGCGATGGCGCGCCTGGGAGAGTCGCGACGGCGCTAATCACCACGCCGTCGATTGCTTGCTCCTGGTATCGTGAATGCATCTGAATGCTGATGCGGTGGCTTTCTGTGCTCACGGTATCTGCCCTGTACGACGTGATTTGACCTCTGGCGTTGCAAGGTGCCGCGCTGTCTCGCGCTGCTTTGTGGTAAACCAGCCGATGACCCTGGGCTCGTGGGTTTTTTCAGTGCTGCTTCGGAGGGGATCGGGCAGGGCCGGGCAAGAGCAGGAGGTGCTGCTTTTGATTGGCAATTGTGCCGCTGCAGCATGAAGATAAGGCATATTGTTCTGTGAAGGTGATTGCGCAGTGCGAGATTGCCACCGAATCATGCGAGCATTGCTATTGTTGTTTGTTCTTGCCAGGGTAAGGACTTGGTTGGCGCTAGCGATGAGCGCTTTGGATGTTGAGACACACTGAGGGGATCGATGACAATGAGCAGGATGAGAGGCGGACGACGCAAGTCCAATATGGCGTTCAAGAGGGTTGACACCTCGGCGGGGATTCATCGGTGATTACGACCGTCGTGCTCTCGATGCCAAGGGCGATTGCCGCACTGCTGGGCAGTCTGATGGCCAGCGCCTGACGCTGGCGGAGTGCCTGCTCACCTCGACGGCTGGCGGTGTCGACACACCCACACACACGTACACACAGACACACACACACAGTCACACACAGACACACACAGACACGCAGACACACACATATGTATACATACATATATATATATATATGTACTGGAGCGATGCGACCCGGGTGATTGATGAGGCAGTTTGGGGGGCGACCAGCCATGATATCTCACAGATGTCATGGCTTGATCTTCTGCTTTCAGTACGTTCCCTGCCCTCCCCCCTGGTCCGCGCACATGCCTCGGGCCATGATTTGCGAATCCCCCTCTTGGACGCCCCCCTCGAGCAGTACGGTCGGTGGCACCTTGTTGGCCATGCTACGATCATTTGCACTGGTCGATCGTGGCTCCTCTGTGCACTCGTCACGTGTGCTGCTGAACCACTGCGCCAGTGACCATGTGATGAGCGATCGCGACAAGCATAGCGAAGGCTGTTACGACGAGTCGCGAGCGGGATCAATAGAGTGTGCAGTCTGGATATCCGAGCTGGTGCAGCTGATTCAGTGCTCAGTACAGGTGATGGTGATATCGGTATTTCTTCTTCCCTCCTCCTCCTCCCGAAAAGCTTAGTCAGTGCATACTTGGTTAAGTCTAACATTAATATGGGATCTAAATATCTGATCCTCATCCCCCCAATCTCGAGCCAGCCTCGGGTGAGCACGAGAGGAGATCGAGGCGTTCGGAGGGACTCGGTGTACACACCATGTTTTTAGGTCGGCTCATGGGCCATCGACGTAGGCGAAGAGATTAGATAAACAGACGCTCCAGCGTCCCACAGCTCGGGAAGCCACGGCGTGCAGACATTTAGCTTCTGGGCCGACCAGGCGACCCATCGTATACTTTGAGCCCCTCCTCGGCGCGAATAGCAGAGCAGGGCCAGGTCGGCGATGGGGAAGACAGAGGAGGAGGAGGAGGAGGCGGAGGCGGATGAGGAGGATTTGACATCCATGCCCATGGACCCCACTACATGGGTCACACGGTGTCGAGGTCGGCTTCGACACCCTTTCTCTTGTGGTCAGGATGGAGTCCCTTGCTCAACCTCGTCGTTCACACTTCGCTGCGAGCAGGTGGCCGATCTAGGCACTCCTTTGAGAGCTTTCGCATCTGACCACCTGTAGAAAACGCGAGGCAACTCTGACAGACACAAGCAGCGCTCTGATCGTCATAACCCACAACGAGACAGCTGTAGAGCGAGCAATTTTGCGGGTTCTATTCTGAGCTGGCTCGTGCACATTTTTGGGAGGGGCTTCAGTTTGCGCCGCGAACCGCGCAAACAGTTGGGGCATTGCCAGACACAACCGACCCAATTCCACTCGTGGGAGGGAGAGGCATGCTTGGGAGGACGGGCGCACAGGCGAGCCGCTCGACACCCTCGAGGCTGATCCTCGGCCAGCGATCCAACATCATAGCAGCTAATTTGCATACAGCCTTTGCCGTCCGAATCGAAATTTTCAAATTCGTGCGGTCGTCTTCTCCCACATCAGCGTGCAGCCTCGCTCCTGCTTTGCCGCCTCGTCGGCAGCGTTGTTACCGATGGTATGTCTGCGCTCGGTATCTGACATGTGTGGGTCCTCGGCCCTGTGAGCCTTGTCCGACCACCGAGCTGATAAACTGACTCGCGGAAGAGTGGCTCAGCATGACTGGCCCGCTGTAGGGCCTCGAATGAGACAGCTGATCCGCCAGGCTCTTATTGAACTCCACAACAACCACCATGCAGTCACTGAACAGTGCAAGTGGGCCTGACAGCAAGCTGGCATCACTGGCGAGCGCGGCGAACTCAGCAGCGACACTCGTCTGCGGGCAAAAATTGCCGAGGGCGCCGTACATCCGAGCAAGGATCTGACCCGACTGACCGAGACTCACCACTCCCCAGCCAGAGCCGGACACTTGCTTTATTGCGGAACGCATGCACGAGCCGTCCAGGTAAATGTCCTTTTGAAGCTCCCCAGCCCCCTCGGAAGGAGCTGCAAACCCTGCGGCCTGGAACGCCTCCGGCAAAACCTTGAAGCACACACTGTCCATGGCCTCAGCCTGGCTCATCTGCCCGGGGGCCCACACGGACGGGTGCGGAAACCGACCCTACTCACATAGCAGTTTGAAACCAGGGCTGGAGCCAGCGGAAAGCTCATCGCGGATTCTAGACAGAAGCCTCTCACTAACGATGTCGACCTTCTCTTTCTCGTACTCAGGGCAGAACCGCAGCCGGTGTAACATCGTATCTGCCCGCGCGAACAATACGTGTCCTCCACCTGGTAGCCCAGGGCAGCAGCTCTAATCAGAGGCCAAGCCGCCTGGCACGTCAGGGTTCGGGTGACACATTTCTCTTTTCGGGAAAAGTTGGACGATGTCAAGGCCGCATCGACCAGGTCAAAGCAGAGGCGGGTACTGTCATAGTACCTGCTTCCAGCCTCGATCTCCAGGTCCCGAAAACAACCAAACTCCTTAACCATCGTTTCAAAAGGGCAGGGCAGGTGAGGAGGAGGGGAATCTCCACACCTCTGTCATCCGTCATCGTGAAATGGTCTCTCATACATACTCCAGCCGAGCCTGCGAAGCGAAAGACACATTGCTCCGATAGGCCCCATGCTCGACCTCCACGACTTGGGAGGGTGTGTCCACACCGAACTCCAAGCATCGCGAATCTCCTGCCAGCTGAGCGCCCATGGCGATCCAGTCTGCAGAAGCCACAATTCCTTGCACTATCTTATGATCGGCACAACAGATCCGTACCAAGCTGGGTTTTTCTCGGGACGGGAGAGGATGGTCAGGGAACGTCCCCCGCAACTCGGTTCCATCGTAGTCGCAGCAAGCCTACGGATCTTGATCACCTCGCCGTCATGCCATGCACCTCATCACCGTATTGAGTTCCCGCTAGGGGCCCAGCAACAAAAACCCTAGTAGTGGCTCCCGAACCCAGCATTCACGCTGGCGAACTAAGCGGCGGGTTTGCCGAGCATCAGTAGCCATCCTGGTCTTCGCCGTTCCTCCCCCTAACACGTCTGGAGGTCCTTAGAGTGAAGTCGATTCCCAGGTTCACAGTGGACTCCCTGTGGGGCCCCACGCGGCCCCCGATGGCCCGCGGGGACGCCCAGAGATCGCTGTGGAAGACGACATCATGGCCACCCTATCCATGGAAATCTTGGCCTCCGTCATGACAGTGATGGCGTGCTGCAAGGGTGAGGCTAGCTCCTTGAGGTGCCGACAGAATTAAAACCCGAATAGTTAATGTAAACATCGAGCGTAGTCAAGGGTTCCAGGGTCACCGAGTCGAAGGCCTCGAGGCCGAACATCTTAATCATCGTGGGCGCGATCGAGCAGCCCGCGATGACCCCGCGATCCCCGAACAAGGCGGGCGAAACAACCCCTTGCTGAACCCTGAATTTAGCCGGTTGATATCCAACCAAGCAGTCAGCCAACAGAACAGGAGGTAAACTCTTGACAATTCTTGACACGTCATGTCGCTGTGTGAGTCATGCCGCACGGCAGGCAACGATTTTCTCGACATTTTGTCAGACTGCACGTGCCCGAGCTTCCCAGGATGTCCCCTGCCGTCAGCTTCCCGCACAGCCCCGCGGCTGCTTTGTGAGTGGGCCGGCCGGCTTGCGGCGCGTCTTGTAGCTAATGAGGCTTGCCCGTTGGCCCGGACACCCTGTTCGCCGCGTGCGCTCTTCGCTCGCGGCCGTGACCGAAAAAGTATTACGACCGGTTTTGCGCCGGCACTTAGGTTGCTCGTAGCCAAAGCCAACTCTGCCGACGCTGCGGGCGCCTTCGCCTGCGGCCGCGACGGAACAAATACTACGACCAGGGCCCTTGACTCCGTTTTCTTGCGCCCCTTCAGGCCGGGTCGATCCGCATTCTTGCATGCCACGGGTCTTCTTCTGCCGAGGCTTTTCGAGTGCTTGCAGCGATCAGCTGCTTACCGCGGGTATTACTCTGCCGAGGCTTTTCGACTGTATGCTTCGATCAGCTGCTTGCCACGGGTATTCTTCTGCCGAGGTTTTCCGAATACTTGAAGCGACCCGCCATCAGCACATCTTGTGTTGGTCCGGCTGGTATGACACCAGTTCCCCCGGGGCTTCGCTCCCGTCCGCCCCACCACGTGATGGCCGCAAGGGTTCATGTTGGTTGTCCGGTCGGGCGGGCCCTATCTATGCAATTGGCCCGTTACGCCCAAGGCGTCACGTCCCCCTCACAGGCACTTGCGGGCGCCAGCCTCCGACGGTCTCCCGCCGCTCGACCCTCGGGCTACCTTGTGGGCGGCGCACACCAACACGGTTTTCTCGTGCTGGTCACAGTATGCAGCCGCCCCGCTGGCAACCCAACACGAGCTGCCCCTGGTCGCGCTGCCGCTCCTGGCCGTCCAGAGGTGGCCCCTCTCACGGGAGGGTCGCGCAGTCAGTCTGCCTGCCCCCGCCTGCTTACCGCCCCCGCTCCCGCCCGCGCTCCCGCGCCGCCCCCCCTTCTGTTTGCCTTCGGGCCCGCGCGCGTGAATCGCAAAGTGTCAACCTACGGCTTTTTGATGTTTTACCTGCACGACCAAGTTTAGCATTGGTTTTGGGTACGCGCTGCGCTTTCACCTGTGGGCGTCTCCACTTGCACGGTCAGTTCGTGCCGATCAGCTTTGCTTTCTGGTTCGCGCTCGCGGGGCTCACGGTGTCGCTGACGGCCATCAGAAGTTCTACCTGTACGGCAAGGTTTCCCTGGGGGTGCTCGGTCACGGCTATTTGGTTGACGTTGCCGCCTGGCGCGGTCGCCTCCTTCCTGCGTGTTCCGCTTGCCCAGGGTGCCGTCTGTACTCCTGCCACGGCTACCCTTTACGGCCGCCCGGTCGCCTTTCTCGCGCCATTGTGGCTGCATCTTCTACGATGGCATAGCGGTTATTCGCCCAGTGCGACGGTGCACCGCTATCCGCCTCCGTCCTCTTCGGCGTCCTCTTCGTGTTCTTATAACGATTATTGTGCTTCCTGTTCGCCATGTTTGCTGCGCTCACGTGGGCTCGGTCTTCGGCGCGCTCTTCTGCTGCTGACCGCCTGGTCGGTATCGCGGCTCCTCGCGCGCCGACGCCTGCACCTGCTGGTCGTTTCGCCACCAGCGCGGCCCGCCCATTCACGCTCGGCGTTTGACCCGTTTCGTGCGACCGTTGACCAAACAGTATCCCCACCAGCTCATCCAGAAATGATGCTCTTGGAAGCATCTTGGAAGCCTCTTGGGGTGTCTTGGGGGCTTGTTGGCAGTCCTGGGGGCCTCTTGGGAAGTTCTGGGTGCCTCGGGGACCCTCTTGGGGCCTCCTGGACCCCTCTAGGAGCGCTGATGGATCGTTGTTGGGCGCCCCTGGGGCTGTCTAGAGGCTCCCTTGGACCCCTCTTGAGGCAGTCTTGGGCCATCTTGAAGCCATCTTGAGGCTTCAGAAGGCTATCGGAAGCGAACGGGCGACGATGCAACACTTATTGATTTGTTTTTGGTTTGTGGCGGATCTTGGTTTCTTGGAGGCCGCCTGGGAGGTCTTCGAGGCCTCTTGGATCCGTCATGGGGAGTTCTTGAGGTTGGACCATTTTGGAAGTCATCTTGCGCTATCTTGAGCCATCTTGGAGGTGGTTTTGGGCTCTTCAGGCGTTTTTGGAATCGTCTTCGGGAAACATGTACCGTCAGACCGCTAGCGGAACCCCGTCCAGGTTCAGGGGGGGGGGGGGGGCGGGGGGAGGGGTAAACCCTTCCCCGAAAAGGAAGAATGGGGGGTGGAAAGGGACATTCCCCAAACCACCTGCGCCCAGAGGGCTGGTGGGATGAAACCGACGGCCTCGAAAAAAATAGCTCTTGCATGCTGACCTGAAGTGGTGCTTCGCTCAGCCCTGACGGAGTGGCACCAAACAACATCTGAAACCGACCGATGCCCTCCCGCAAAGGGGTAGGGGGAGGAGGGCGGGGATCAGGGGGGGAGGCGGCCGCGGCAGCAGCAGCAGCAGCAGCGGCAGCACCCGGGAGTGGAGGGGCTCGCGCAGGCAGCGGGGAGCGAGCGGACATGGCGAGGGTTTTGGCGTACCCCTAGGAGGGCGCGCGTGTTCGCCCTCGGCCGCAGGAGTTCCTCCTGATCCCCAGCTCGGCGCCCCAGGCGCCGCCACGGGGGGACGCTGGGCGTCCGGAGCCGTGCCAAGTACTAGGTGATCGCGTTTTTGGTTTGTTTCTCGTGGTGGCTGTCTCATTTGTGCTTGTCTGCGCGCGACTGGCCTAGCCCAGTCCACCCACCTGCAACGCCAAGCTGACATCAAGTAAGCGTGCCCCGCCGCAGTACTTGCGACAGCACCGTCTTTTCGCCGCTGGAGGACAAAGTGTGTGTTCTCTTGGTCTCGCGGCCGCTCCACCGCTCGGCGGTGTTGTTTTTCTTTTCGTGCTCCCTCAACTGTATTTCGACCGTAACGGCTGTTGGCGCCCTCTGCCCTTCGCATGCATCGCTTAGTTTGTCTGCCTTGGTTGCGCCCATCTCGCCTTGTTTGTCTGCCTTTCTTGCGCCCGCGTGCGGCTCCCAAGGGGTACAGTCTTATTCGCGCGGTTTCGCAAGGGAGCTAACCACTGCGAGCGTGGCCCGCCACCGTCTTCAACTGCTGACTGGTCTGTTCAGCGCGTCGGAGGCGCACACACGTAGACAGGTATACATGTGTGTGCATGTACGTACATGTTGTGTCTATGTACCGATCTTTTATACACACATAACTGTGTATATGTCTGTCTGTCTGTCTGTCTGTCTGTCTGTCTGTCTGTCTGTCTGTCTGTCTGTCTGTCTGTCTGTCTCTCTGTCTGTCTGTCTGTCTGTCTGTATGTATGTATGTATGTATGTATGTATGTATGTGTATATTTGTATGTGTGTTCTTACATACACACGCATACACATCCATCAGAGATTATGGGGGGAGACCGAAGTTAAGCGTGATGCGTACCACCTGGGACATGGTATCGTTTCGTTCGTGACGTGCGTGTGGGCAAGGCGGGGCGAAGCTGCTCGAGTTTCTGCCCTAGCAGGGGCCAAGGCAGACCAACATGGTGCGCCCCTCAGGTCCTGCCAGTGGCACACAGTTGTCCCGATACTTGTCCCAAATGGTTGTCCCGATCATTGTCCAGATGGCTGTCCCGATAGTTTGCCCGATGATCTCCATTTCGTTGTTGCGATCGTTGCCCCGATGGTTTTACCCTTAGATGGTCCGACTGGTGTCTTGATGGATGCATTGATAGTTGTTTTGTGTGTTGCCCCGATTTGGCCCGATAGTCGTCCCGATGGTCGTCCCGATGGTTGTCCCGATGGTCGTACCGATGGTCGTCACGATGGTTTGTCGCGATGGTTGTTTTGCCGATGGTCGTCCCGATGGTCGTCTTGCCGATGATTGCCCCGATGTTCGTTCCGATGGTTGTGTCGCCGATGGTTGTCCCGATGGTCGTCCCGATGGCCGTCTTGCCGATGGTTGTTGTCCCGATGTGCGGGTCCATCTTGGGCTATGTTAATGAAGTTTGCCTGCATCGCATTGTGGCGTTGGCTTGCGCTGTATTGGATACCATCTTGAGCTCGAGGACGCCGCGCCGTGTCCAGCACCATGCTCAAGCCTTTCCTCTCGGGGAAGATCACATGAGCCCCCCGCCCCTCTTCGGCCCGCTCTCAGTGCTGGCCGCATCGGCGCCTGGGCTGGCCTTGCTGCTGTGGCAGGCGGCGCAGAGCAGCTTACGCGCGGAGGACCCGCGTGCTGTGCAGTCCGCGGGCGCGGCTGCAAGAGGGCCCGTGGACCCCGACCCCGACGACGGGGTCTGCCCTGTGGTGGCCTACCCGCCGCCGCCGCCACCGTGCCCGCCCTGCCCAGCAGTGGCGTGCCCACTCTGCCCCGAGGTCTCGGGGGAGTTGGGACAGTCCGACTACATCGGCTGGGCCCTCGCCATCGTGCTGGTGACGCTGGCCGTGCGCCTCCTCCCTTGTTGGCCTCGCGGGCGCGAGGCAGCGTCAGGACCTGTCCTGGAGGAGGAACGCTCGGAGGCTGTGGACGACCCCAGCATCATCGCCATCCGTGCAGAGGCGCTTCGGCAGAGGAGGGCTTGTCGTGAGCGAGTGGCGTTGCGGTCCCAGAACTGGCCCTGGCGCAGGTCGGAGACTATATACTCATTCGGTACAATCTTAAGGATGACGACGTTCCACTCTGACACGAGGCCCTCATTACGGGGGTGAAGACAGGGTCGCCGAATGTTGTGACGATCTACACGCCTGACGGCGATCACTACGAGTTGGACCTCACGATCGGAGATGACGTATACTCAGTCCATTGGCTGGGATATCAGGGAGCTTCTCATCCAGGTATTCGGAACGACAGGTGCTACCGTTTCGCTCGGAAGCCGAGTGCGGCCGAACAGCGCGCCCTCATCCGCGACAGCCTGATCATGCTTGGAGGGGTCGCGCAGCAGCGTCCTCCTGTCAGGTTGGCCGCGGGCCCGGGGGAGCAGGTCGGCGGCCTGGCCCGAACCCCTGCGCAGCAGGCGGGGCCTGTGCATCAGCGGGCCCCCCGCCCGGGTCGCGTGTGGGTCGTCGCCGAGGATGTCGGGTCGCTGCGCCGCGGGGAGGTCGTTGACGAGTTGCACGCCGAGTCCAGGGTCCTGGGGAACAAGGCCGTGAAGCCGACGGCGGACGGTGATGTCGCCTTGATGAAACAGATTGACCGCAAGGACTTGGACGAGTATATCCACAATGATTCGAGGGTTCTTCCAGTCTGCTTCGGTGGCACACGATGCCGCCGTCGGACGTCTGCCGATGCGGTGACCCACATGACGGATGACATGCCTGAGGGCTGAGAGGGGGCCTTGATTTGACAGGCCCTCGCACGAGTTGGTACTGCCTGCAGGGCACCGCTTCCCTGTCCCAGGCGCCTGTGACGCATTCGGAGCATTGCAAGCTTGCTGCCGAGATCCAGGACGGGGACAGGTCCCGGTATGAACACGAGGCTCTGTCCAACATCCTGGAGGCGATGGCGTGCTTGGACCAGCTCAACGTTCCAAGTCTTCGGTCGGGAGAGTTGATTGCGCGTAGGTTCCAGTTCATCGAGGATGCGCATGCCCACAGTGGAGCAGGCGGTGCTGCATATGACGGTGCGTCCGACTACTACATGGGCTGGTCTACGCGCAGGATGGGTGTCTTCATCGCCCCTGAGGTTAGCCAGCATGTCGCCGACAACCTACGAGGCGACGCTTAGGTCGCCAAGGAGGCGAGGAAGGCCAAGGAGGGGCAGCGGCTGCGCAGGCAGCCAAACCAGAAAAACAAGAAGGAGGACCACTCACCCTGAGGGGTGGCGGGCGTGGGAGATGGCCGACCCACGCTCGCGCGGAGGCCAATGCACGTGAATCCGAGCAGCGTGATCGCTTGGGTCGGGCTTCTATGGCTGGGCAGCTTCGGCCAAGAGTGTCTGAGTTTCGTCGCGTGCCACCTCGAGAGCTTCTACCTGCGCCTCCTGTCCCTATCACCCCGCCTACCTCCCCTGGTTCCTCGTGCGCGCGCGGAGGAAGGTGGCTCGACGCCGAGGGGTAAAGCAAGGGGGTCAACGAGGCGCCCACCGCTTTGAATGAGGTGAGCTATGGGACCAGGGACCCTTCGGCCGTCGCTAGCGCAGCGAGTCTCGCAAGAGGCCTTGCTCGGGCTTGCCTCCTCGCATCCATCGCCGACGCGTGCGTGCAGCCGCCGCGGGGCCGCTCGACAGCTCCTGGCCGACGTGGTCGACTACGCCGGCGTCGACCAGGGTGCCGCAGCGAGGCCGCGCAAGCGCTCTCTGGCGTCAGCCCCAGCGGTTGGGGGGAGCTCTGCTCCACTGACCTCGGTGGCTGGCGAACCGGAAAGGGAGTCGCTGCGACGGCCAGCAGAGACCATGCTAGCATATTCTGACGACGCGTGCTGGGGATCGGAGAAGATGAGCACGATCACGCCCTACATAGACACTGTTTTGCGCTCCAACAGGCTTGAGTACGCCACCTTTCTTACCGACCTGTTTGCGGCCCCCCTCATCGCATGGGCCCCCCAGCCTCGAGAGATATGCACGCCGTTTTCCGTTGCCAATGAGAACGGCGATCTCCGGCTGGCGATGGGCTGCCGCGCCATTAACTTCCACTTTCGACCGCCCCCACATCTCGACGTGGGCACTAGGGGGCCTGGTCAAGGATGGAGATGCCCGATGGAGCGGGCAACCTGTTTGCCGCCGCTGCAGATGCGGAGAATGATGTTCGCGCGATCCAGAACCACCCGGGCCTCCAACCCTAATTTTGCCCGCCCCCGATCTCGGCCGTCGAGGCGAAGGGCTTCGTGCAGGGCCCCGACGGCTTAAGTGGCTGCGATTTCGCGTGGCCTGCGTTGCGATCAGCCCCGACGGGATGGAGTTGGGCTTTCAACTTCGGGCAAAAGATATCGGATGACCTCGTCGATGAGGCCTTGGGGGGGGGGGGGGGGGGGGGGCGCGCGCGCTGTTGCTCTCTGCTTCGCGGCGTTGGGCCGACCCCAGATGCGGGCTCTGCTCTGCGCGCGTCGCCGCGCTATGACAACCTCAGCGTCAGTGGTCTCGACGAGGGGGGGGGGGGCGCGGGAGGCCCCGAATGACGTCGTTGCTCCTCTCAGGTCAAAGGGCCCCCCTGTGCGCGAGGAGAAGGACGCCTCGACCAAGGTAGTCTCGCGGGCCCCAGCGGTCGATGGAGAGAAGTGGGTTGTTTACGGGCCTGGGCGGGCCGAGCGGCTCGCCATGTTCTGCGAAGTAATTGAGAGTGGTGCCTGCCTGTCTGGGGGTGATGTTCAGAGATGGGCTGGGCACCTCATTGACTTTCTCTGTGTTCGACGTGAAACGTTGTCCGCCCTTCGCTCCGCGTGCGATTTCATCCAGAAGGTTGGCGCAGGCAGACAGCGAGCGTGGGCATTTACGCAAAGAGGCTCGTTGGATCAGGGGCCTCATTGGCGTCTGCGCATCCGACCTGGAGATGGCCGGGGGCCTCAGGCGATAATGGCCGATGCGTGCGAGACAGGGGCTGGAGTCGCCTCCGCCGGTTTCGACGCCAGCAGAATTGCGGACGTTGTCCGCATCTCAGAACGGCGGCGACGCCGAGGCAAGCACCCGCTGTCTCAACCTTGTCGCGCCCCCACCGCAAAAATGGATGCGTTCTCAGACCGGCGATCGCTTGCTCGACGCGGCCCGGAGTCCGAGACCTGCCGCCAAGGCCCAGCATCAGAGATGACGGTGAGAATCTCCTTGGTTTGTCCGACCTTCTCGCCTGCAGATCGGCGCGACGTTGAGTTGGGCGGTGGGGTGGTTGACTCTATGTGCATTTGTCTTGAGGATGTGCTTCCGCTCGGCCTCCTTGTTGCGATTGAGTGCCCTCGCCTGTCTCGTCTCTGGCCTCGCCCCGCGTTGATTCCTTTGACCAGTTCGGTTGCGGCGCGCGCCGGGGGGGCGTCAACCGGCCACCTCGCGCGGCGCTTTCTTGTGCTAGCGTCCTATTCTCGACGACGATATGGGCGCGAAGACTCGCGCAGCTTCGCGGGCGGGGCCCGCGCGCGGCAGCGCGGCAGGGGCCCCTCGGGGAAGTGGCGCACTTCAAGATCGCAGAAGTCTCTTAAAACATGCAGAGAGCAGGTGGCCAACGCATGCCGCTAGGCTACGCCCCCGCGCGCGTCGTTCTTTCGAGGTGATTGGCGGCCCCCCCGCGCCAGCTGCACGCGTGCTTTTTTGACCGGACACTTCTTGGAAGTGGGTGCGGGAGAGCCCCCAGGTCTGTCTGCGCGCGTCTTTCTCGCAATTCTGCTCGCTGGGCAAGCGCCGCCCTGAGAGAACCTGAAGCCTGGCAGAACAATGGAGAAGCGAAGCATGACGTATGCTTGCATGATCACGTTGTGCCAGTGATGCGTTGCCGTCTCAGCGCGTCAATGTTCTGTCATCATTTGGGCTCGAGCTTTTTCGCTGGGCCCACCGTCCGTCCACTTTCACCTCCATGATCTGTTCTCACCGCTATCAGAATACATTCTGGGAGAGTTCCCAGGTCTGTCTGCGCGCGTCTCTCTCGCAATCGCGCATGCTGGCCAAGCGCCCCCCTGCAATGGCCCGTATCTGGCATGAAAACAGGAGCGAAGCATGGTCATGCAGGGGCGGATGTGGGGATTCAATCGTGTTTTTGCTGTGCATGCTTTGCGTCGCGGCGCCGTTTTGGGCCATCGTGGATGTCATCTTGAGCCCATGTCGCGCTTTTCTTATTGAGCTCGTGGCTCCTTCGTTTCTTTGGCGGAGTCCAGTGGGATTGCGTTTCCTTTTTCCTTCGTCCCTTCCTTCGTTCCTTTTCCTGCGACCTCGGATTTGCGCCGCGCGCGTGAGAGATTCATGGGTTCCAGCCGCGACGGTCGGACACGCGTGTCTCGCATCGCTAGAGAGCGGCATCCGCGGCGAGAAGGATCGCCGCAGGCTGTTTACGAGGTTCTGCACCTCGACGGGGCGCAAGAGGCCGGACTCCAGCACGCGAAGCGACGAGTTGAGGCGCGGCCTCAGGAGGCCTCGGACGGGCAAGGTTTGGCGATTTTTTTCTTGAAAGTGGTCGCCGGGTGCTGCTCGCCCCAAAAAGTGGTCGCATGTGCTCTGGGGGGCCCATCCCAGCGGCCGAGGCGTCGCCAAGAGGGCACGGGATGCGGGGGCTTTGGGTGTTGTTGCAGGGGGCTTGAGCCAGCTGGGGGAGCGCGGGCCATGGAGAATTGGTTGCGCCTGTGCCTGCATCCAGCGCTGCCGTGAGACGCGGTCGCTGACTTCTTTCTCGATGGCGGGTGGCTTGTGTCTGCCAGATGGTTCGCTTGCGATGCTCGTGGTCGATGCGAGCTGTCCATCCATTGTAGGCGCGCGGGGTGTGCGCGTGCAGGATCCCCGTTTAGAAATCAGCTGCCCTCTTCGAGCGGGTGCGTTAGCCCCCATCCCGCCACTCTCTTTTCTCTGCGCTTTCCCTTTCCTCCCTTTCCTTCCTCGCCCAATTCTTTTCCTGACAGTGGTTTGCTGCTCCTAGGTAAGATTCGCAATGCGACCCTACCTGGGCCCAGCGCAAGCGGACAGGTTCCTGATCAATGCTTTGCCCAAGGCCTCGGCGCGCTGCTTAGCCGACCTGCGCCTCGCTTTGAAGCCCATGAGACCTCACTACTCAGACCCCTTGCGCCATGGTTTTTGCACAACGTCGACAATTGGATGTCTGAAAGAGCGCGTTCTGCGGTCGCTTGGAGGGGGGGGGGTGGAACCGGTCTCCCCCCTCCCCTGGATGGGGGGGGGGAGGGGGGGTCGAACCCCCCCCGCCCCTCCCGTGACCGAAGGGGGCGGGGTTCAGACCCCCCTTCCCCATTTTTTCTTCACTTTTCCTCTCTCCCTCTCCTCGGGCCGGCGCCTGCGTCGGCGGCGGCTGGCGGCGGCGGCGGCGGGTGCGACGATTTCGTTTTCTGGGGGCGCCTGCGGCGGCGGGCGGCGGCGGCGGGCAGCGCTGACGAATACGAAGGTGAGTGGTGGTGGTGTTGGATTGTGGTGGTGGTGGTGGCAGCGGTGGTGGTGGTTGCGATGGTGGTGGTGTGGTGGTTTGTTGTGGTGGTGGTGGTTTTTGGTGGTGGGTGGTGGTGGTGGTGGTGGTGGTGGTTTTGTTGTGGTGTGGTGGTGGTTCGTGGTGGTGGTGGTGGTGGGTTGTAGTAGTCGTGGTGGTTTGGTGGTTGTGTGGTGGTGGTTTGTGGTGGTGGTAGGTTGTGGAGATGGTGGTGATTTGTGGAATTGTTGTCGCTTCGCGAATCCCCACCAGCCCATCCAGAAACGATGCCCAGAGGAATTGCCTCGAGCAGAGAAGTGGGCAGCACACAGAGGAAGCCATTATGAGACATCTTGGGATATCTTGAGCCATCTTGGAGGTCATTTTGGGCTCTCCCAGACGCTCTTGGAGTCATCTTAATCCGTGCCCCCCCCCAAGAGGCCTCCATGTGGCTAAAACCTGTGTAGAATCAATGATTAGGCATTCTCGCCGAGGCCTCTTGGAGCATCTTGGGTGCATCTGGGGGGGCTCTTGGGGCCTCTTGGGGGTCTCTTGGGGGCCTCCGGGGGGCCTCTTGGGGGCCTCTTGGGGCCATTTTGGGGCCATCTTGGGACCTCTTGGGGCTTCCTGGGCGCTTCTTGGGGCCATCTTGGAGGAGATCGATCAAACAAGAGGGGGGGTTTAATTAGCGCCCCCCCTCGGAAGCCCCTAAAATCGCCTCTTGGACCCCTCTTGGAACGCTCTTGGAGTGCTCTTGGGCGCTCTTGGGGCCGTCTTGGGGCTCTTTTGGGGCTCTCTTGGGGCCCTCTTGGGCCATCTTGGAACCATCTCCAGGCCTCGGATGGCCATCGGAAGCGAAAAGGCGAGAAAGCAAAAATCATTGATTTTCCTTAGGTTTTGGGACGATTTTGGCCTCTTCGGGGCCTCCTTGGGGAGCTGTTTGGCCACTTGGAGTTATCTTGGGGCCGTCTTTGGGCTTCTTGGAACCATCTTAGGAGCCATCTCGAGCGATCTTGCGCTATCTTGAGCCATCTTGGAGCTCATCTTGGGTTCTCTGAGGCGCTCTTGGAGCCGTCTTGGGCCATCTGGGACGCTCTAACTACCCGCGGCCCCCCCCGTCCAGGTCCAGGGGAGGGGGTAGGGGGAGGGGTAAACCCCTCCCCAAGGGGGAAGAGGGAGGGGTGGAAGAGGATCTGCTCTAGACCACCTACGCCCAGAGGGCTGGTGGGATTGGTGCTGGTGGTGGTGGCGGTGGTGGCGGTGGTGGTGGTGGTGTGGTAGTTTGTGGTGGTGGTGGTGGTGGATTGTGCTGCTGGATGTGGTGGTGTTTGTGGCGGTGGTGGTGGTGATGTGGTAGGTTGTGGTTGTGTTGGTAGTTGTGGTGGGTTTTTGTGGTGGTGGTGGTGATGGTGAGTTGTGGTGGTGGTGGTTGTGGTGGTGGTGGTGGCTGTGGTGGTGGTGGTGGTTGTGTGGTGGGTTGGTGGTGTGGTGGTGGTGGGTTGAGGCGGTGGTGGTGGTGGTAATGTTGGTGGTGGTGGTAGTGGTGGTAATCGTCGCTGCGTCCCCGCCGTCGCTGGCGCCAGCGCCGGCGCTAAGGGGGGGGGCCAAGGGGGGTTCTGACCCCCCCCCCTTTGGGAGAGGGAAGGGGGGGTTGACCCCCCCCCCCCTGTGGGTTGCCTCGGGTCATCGTCGCTGCGTCCCCGCCGTCGTCGCTGCTGGCGGCCGCCAACGCCGGCGCCGGCGCCTGCGCCGACGGGGGGGGGTGAAATCTCCCCCCCCCCGTGGAAGGGGGGGGGGGCCGGGAAAGGGGTGGTTTGGGAGGGAGGGGAGTCCCCCTTGGTCTTGATCGACGGCGCCGGGTGTTGGGGGGTGGGGGGGGCACCCCCAGTTCGAAACGCGCCGCCGAGTGTTCCCAAGGCAAACGCGCGTGAAACGCGCTGTGTCGGAGGTCTCGACCCCTCATCCCGAGTATTCAATGATGGTCCCGTGGCCCGCAGATGGCTCCAGAGGGCCAAAAATTAGAACACTTCCCCCGTCGGTTTCCACGACGCAAAGGGGGGTCTGGGTACTTGATCCTCTCTCGCCTCTCTCGGCGAGTACAGAGGGTGTGGTTACGCCGTGGTGTGGTTTGCGATTTGCGTTTTTGAACTTGGGGGGCAGCACGCTCCCCTCGTCGTGCCCTTTCGGGTCGCAACCGACTGTCAAAGCCTCGCCCGCCCCCTGTTGTGCGGGTTGCAAACCGAACCTTTCGCAAACGACACCCTCCAGAGTCGTCGACCCGCTCCTACCGAGGCGGCGCGGCGTGCAACAACAGAGGCGCGAAGCGGCGGAGCGCGCCGAGACGGATTGCGCCCCGAACGTGCCGCGCGGCGCAGGCCCCTGCCGTGGCCGGCATGTCGTCGAGCTGCTGGGTGCATTGGAAGGCGGGGGGCGGCCTGCCCGCGGTTCATCGAGCGCGTTCCAGGACTCGCAAAACGCCTGCCCGCAAACGTCCGAATAGCGCCTGTTTGCTTCGATGCAATGGATCGTGAATCCCCCGCGGTGGGTCCAGGCCATTTGCGAACTGTTACTTTGCGAGTAGTGGAACGCGCTTGTCTAGCGGCGGCGACGACATTCATCCAGAGGTCCTGGCCACACAAATAGATGGCAGAGGGCTTGGTCCGTGGGGTTCGGCTCCCCTTCCTGTGTCGGTGCGCGGCATTTCCCCACGTGTGGCCGCAAACATACTGATCTCGCGTCGGGGGCTCCCTGCCCCCGTTGGAGGAGGGCGAGTTGAGACAGCGGTAATTGGCCTTCGGGGGGGCCGCTCGTCGCCCTGGCTGGTCACAGCTCGGAAAATTAGCGCGTTTGGACTAATGGAGGGGTCCAGGCCGCCGCCTTCCCGCAGCGGCGGCGGCGACAACGATACCCGAAGAAAAAAACATAATGCGTAGACGGACTTGCGGAGGTACCCGCAGATCTCTTGGACCTGCTTCTGGGCCCCCGTGGATATGCGAAGACGACAGCGTTCCAGGAATAAACATACACATAAGAAGCACAGTACACATTCCCCAAGTAGTGTTCGCACACGGGGGCTCTTACTCTGGTTTCGAAAACTCGACAAGTGGGACGTTAGCCATTGCTACCCGGGACGTGTCCGCCTGCGCGCCCGAAATTGTACCGTATGGCAATGGCTGAGGTCGGTTTCTACCATCCTGGGGGGTACCATGCTTGATCTGCATGCGAGGGCTTGCGATCCTAGTCCATTATAGCCCAGCCATTCACTGGCCAAGGGCCTGTTCAGGGGTGCCCTTCGAGTTCAGAGAGCTCTGAATGGCGCCTTGTGCGTCTCCTAAGTTGTTCCCCCTCGCCCATGATCCAACAGGGTCGGCATTGGAGGAACGGGCAGAGGATGAGGTGCAGGCGGAGGATGAGGAGGACAGTTTGTGCCGTCCTCTTCGTCCTCTTTCTCTCGTTCTCCTCTCGTTCTCCTCGTCGTCGTCGTAGTTGTCGTCGTCTTCGTCGTCGTCCTTGTTTTCGTCCTCGCCCTAGTACTCCTCCCAGTCGTCGTCGTCATCGTCGTCATCGTCGTCATCATCGTTGCCGTCGTCTTCGTCGTCGTCCGCGTCCTTGTTTTCGTTTTCGCCCTCGTACTGCTCCTAGTCGCTGTCGTCGTCGTCCTTGTCCTTATCCTCCCTTTCCGCCTCTCCCTCCTCCGCCCTTCGCCCCCGCTCTTTCCCCATCTTACACCCCCCCCTCTCCATCTCCCTCCCTCTCCTCTCTCCCCTTCCACGCCTGCCCCTTTATCCCTGTGTTTTGTTTATCCTTCTCCTTCTACTTTCTTTGTTCTCCCTGTTTCTGCTTCGGCTCCCCCTACCGTTCTCCCCATTGTCCTCCCCCAATGTTCCTCCTGCTCTCTCTCCGTTTGCTCCTCTTCCTCTTCTTCCCCCATTTGCATTTCCTTCGCTATCTGTTCTGGCACTTTCCAGTGTGGAGCCGTCTCTCTCGTGCATTCTTTTCCATACCAGATTTCGCACACTGACATTCTGCATGCTTTTCTGATTCGAGCGGGTTCGATGTCGGTCTTTTACAGATGGTGTTCCTGCTGCAGCGTTGGCCGCATTTCATGATTCACGCCGTTGTTTCGTCGATCTGCGGGCCACGATTGTTTACCATTTTTTTTCTTCGCCGTCGCCGTCCCCCCTCCCTTTCCCCCTTTTGACTTATGTGAGTCTTCATGTGTATCATGCTCATCTTGCCTCTCCTTCAGCGTCTTCTCCTTCCTCGGCATCCTGTCGTTCCACCTGCTCATCCTCCTGCTCATCTGCCGCCTCTTCGCCGCCCAATGTACAGAGCCCGCTTCCATGTGCTGATTGAAGGGTCACACGATGAGGGCATTGCCATTTGTGAGAACAGCGTCCTCTAGGACACCCCAGTCTCAGACATAACAATATCAAGCGCACGGACAGGCGCCTGGTGTCAGACACGGCGCGAACTTGATGTTCCGCCTCCTCCTCCTTCTCCGTTTCCTCCTCCTCTTCTTGGTTGGCCTCTTGCTTGTGGAGCGGCAGGGATGCATGGCGGCGGTGGCAAGCTCAACCGCGACAGCATGGGAGACGACGCCTAAGAGAGCACTGCCGATCCAACGATCGGGCAGCATGCCAGAGGTGCTCGCGCCAGGGTGCTCGCTCGTCGAGGCCTACAGCCAGGACTGCTGCGTATCCTCCCCCCTCTAGTCGGTTGGCGCTCCTCCTCCTCCTCTTCCTCCTCCTCCTCCTCCTCCTCCCCCTCGTCTTCCTCCTCCTCCTCCTGGTCCTCCTCCTCCTCCTCCTCCTCCTCCTCCTCCTCCTCCCCCAGTTTCTCATCCTCTGCCTCCTCTCCATCCCTGTTCCTTTCTGCTTACCCCCTCTCATCGTCTCCTCCATGTCCCTTCTACTCTTGTTTATCATCCTTCCACTTTGCCTCCTCCTCTTTTTCCTCCCCTCCTCCTCTCCCCCTCCTCCTCCTCCTCCTCCTCCTCCTCCTCCTCCTCCTCTCCTTCCTCCTTCCTCCTCCTCCTCCCCCCTCCTCCTCCTCCTCCCCCCTCCTCCTCCCTCCTCCTCCTCTCCTCCTCCTCCTCCTCCTCCTCCTCCCTCCTCCTCCTCCTCCTCCTCCTCCTCCCCCCCCCCTCCTCGGCGAGGCGCGGCTGAAAACGAAAGCGGCTGCGGACATGATCGCGCTCAAGATGTCAATCCTCAGGCGAGGCGCGGGTGGAGGAGGAGGAGGAGGAGGAGGAGGAGGAGGAGGAGGAAGAGGAGGAAGAGGAGGAGGAGGATGAGGCCCGCAGCCATTTTGGCTGAAGTGCGAAACCGTGCCCCTGCGGTTTCGCGCTCGCCTGCAATCGAGACGCTGGGTCGAGGCGAGCCGCCCGCAGCAGGCATTTTTTCAACCGCTCCTCACTGTGAGCCCCCGCGCGACCGTAGGTTTTCTTCTACCGCTTTATCGCGGCGTCGGTTTCGGCATTTTCTCGCATTTTTATCCCGCCACCAGCGAGGCGCACCCGCGCAATGGTCAGAGATGGGGATGCATCTCGCTCGCCCCACCCCCCGTGCTGCAGCTGATGCAGCTGTTCATGCTTGATTGTTTCTGGAGGATCGCTACGATCTCATCGCAAACTTCCCGTCCCAGGAGGTTTCGGGAGGTGCTGCAGCTCCCGCCTGTGGCCTGCGGCCTTACCAAAAAATGCTCCACGTGCAGGTGTGCCCCTCCGTGGCTCCCCTGCCGCTGCCCAGCGTGCGCGGCCGCAGGGTCCATTTCGCCAACCTTGTCGCGTTCGACAAGCCGCTGCTGCCGTGCGAAAAATCAGTTGCTGTCTGCCATCAATATCATTCAACCGTCAGTCTATCAATTTGCCAAAACAGGTCAAAACAGTTCAAACGAGCTGCTCCCAGGAGGGCAGGCAGGCGGAAGCTCGCATGGCCAAAGTTGAGTGTGCGCAGTCCGAGCGCGCGAGCCTCATTCAGTCGTTGGGTCGGCGTATCTCTCAGATGCAGAAAGAACTTGGCCTCGCGCGCGCCGAGACCCCGACCAAAACCGATATCAACTCGTCGTTCCAGCGCGAGAGCGACCCCACCGTCAGCATATCCAGGTCGAAGGTTATACTTACTCGCGCGAGCGTCCACGGCGGAAGCCGCAGGAAAGAGCTGGCCGACGCGAACTGCAGCAACGAGGACTTTGAGTTCATTGGGGAACCAGTTTCGAAGAAGTTCGCCCACCAGGTCAAGGGGGGCGCCGGCCACGCTTCCCGCAAAGCTGGCCAGTGCCTCTCCCTGCTCAAGAACGGCCCGAACAGTTGGCGCCGCTTCAGTGGTCGAGATGCCTTCAACTTCGAAGCGGAAGTCCATGTGTCTGCTGACAAGTCCTTGCACCAGGTCGAGGTTGAATTGCTCATCAAGGAGCTGCGCCGCACGATCGGCGAGTTGCGTTCGAACGTCAGCCCTTTCGCCGACAAAACCCGCGGAGAGTGCCCCGCCGCAGGAAGCCGCTGCCCCGCGCCATCCCCATGGCCGACGCCGACCGCGAGGTCGAGCGGGCGCTCGCCAACCTCCGTCAGTTCGGCGCGCGCAAGGACCGCGTGGCAGAGCGCATCCAGCAGCGCCTTGCGAAGGCGCAGCAGACGGAGTGGGGCCTTTTGCATTTTCTTTCGGCGGCGGCGTGAGTCGCCGTCGCCCTCGGGCGCGCTGACATGCGCGACGTGGGATGCGCGCGTTGCTTCGCCATAACTTGCCGCTGAGGGGTCGCAAGTCACGTTGCCTATCCAAGCTGATCTCGCCCAGCTCGATAGTGGCCATCCAGGCGCCTTGCGGAGATGCGTTTCGGGTCATTATGCTTGGTCTACGCCGTTTCGTTTATGCAGCCCCGTCATCTTGCCCCTCTGGACCTGGTCGTCCAGCTGGCGGTGTTATCAGCTTCTATCCCGACGCCCCCTGCTTGTCACTATCCCCGCCCTCCAGTTGTCTCGGAAGAAGTACTGGTCGTTGGAAGGGTCCTGCGGGTGCACTCTTGTTTCCAGGACAACGTCTCCCTCGTCCTCTGCGACATCCATAGCCTCGGGCTGTCTGCAGCTCGTCGTGATCAAGCTTTTCGGCGCATCCAGGGGGGCATCCAGGATGCTGAACACGATCAGCCACGCAGGTTGATAGTCGTTGGCGGGGACCTCGACGCGCGTGCGCGGCTTTCCCGAGATCCTCAACCGTGCCAAGATATCTGACCATGCCGCTCTCATATCCCGTCGTCCTCCCCCTCCTGAGAACAGGCCAGTGCGCCCTGATATGTTTGGCTCTCCAGAGTGCGCCGGCTTCGCGTCGAGGATGGCGGCGTCGTGCGCCGGCGACTGGTCGCGCCTGTCTGCGCCGCAGTAGCTCGGCTTTAAATTGGACGGCGATGAAAGTGGCATCCCGACGCGCTCGAGACTCGATCGCGGCGCAGCGCCCCCTCGATCCGTTCGTTCGGCGCGCTGTGTGCCGTTCGATCGCCAGGGCCGTCTGGGGGCAGGATCGAGTCTTCGCCGACCGCTCGTCTTCGCCCTCCCCGTCGCTCGTGAACGCGCAGCGCTGCCGACTTTCGACGCCTCCGTCTCGCTGAAGGACCCAGTTCGGTTCACTCAGCTCTCGAACGACACCCGCGGGCGCGCGATGACGGACGCGCAAAAGCGGGCCGAGCAGCAGCTTAGCGGGGGGCCCCCAGCCCGTGCGAGAGCTCAGGTTGCGAGAGAGTAGCGCAGCCTCGAGCGCTGCAAAAATTCTTAGTTGGCGCATGGAAGGGAGCTGGGCCTGGCCTGCCCCCCATCCCCCCCGACGGGGCCGTTGCTCGCGACCCCGCGCTGACGCTCAACTTTTTGGCTTCGCATTGGGGGGGGGGGGGGGGGGCGTTTGCGACCGAGCCTATAGATGCCGCCGCAGCTCAGAAATACGCCCGGAAGTACAAGGGTGAACTCGACCTCTCCTGCCTCGAGCCTCCCACTGCATGCGACATAGCTGGGCGTCTTCGACGTTGCCCCCTGGGTGCTCCTGGACTCGATGGTTTGCCCTGTAAGGCCTGGCTGGCCCACCCTTCTCGCGCCGAGGTCCTAGCAGAAGTCGAGCAGCGGGTGCTCGACGGGGGCCCCATAGGATTCTATTTCAATGTTGCGCGCGGCGTCTTTTGGGCCACTGGAGATGAGCCTGGCGACGCTGCTGGGCCCGCATGCGCGCCTGCTGCGACGCGCCCGCTCGACTTCGACAACGCAGACTGCAAAGTGGTCGCAGCTGCTTGCATGCGCGATCTCACAGCGGCACTCCCTCGGCTCGTCGACCCCGCCGAGCGCGGTCCCACCCCGTCTCGCAACCGCGAGAACAGCGCGCGAAATCCACGCGCGCTCGCATGTCAGGATTCGAACCCCACGCTAGCGAACGCCTCCCCCTACCCTTCGCCATTGAATGTTGTCAAGCTTTCCCCTCCATCGGTTCTGGCTTCGCCCTCCTGGGGGCTGTCCAGGGGATGTCCAGGTTTCGCCCTCCAGGGCCCCCTCGCCGGATCTGCTGCCCTGCCTTCCCAGCGCGTCGGGCCCATTCAAGGGGATCCCAGATGCGACCGACGGGTGGATGCGAATCCCGGCAAACATGTACCATGTGCTCGTTGTGAAGCGCACGTCCCGCGCCGCATTTCCGTGGGCAACATTGGTTCGAAGTGCACCGGCAGTGGTGCAATGCTCATTTCACCCAGCCGTCGCGACAGCAGGCAGTGCTTAAACAACACTGGCTGAGGCTGCACACCGAGTTGATCGCGTCAAGGGCGAGCGACATTTGTCGGCAGCGTCTTTTCGTTGACGAAAGTCATCAGCAGCGCTTGATTGACATGGCCTTGCAATTCGTGGGGCGCGCTGGGTTCCCCGCGCGGTTCCGCGCGACCTTCCACCCTTTGTATTCAATGCGTGGTTCCACGTGCCATTCCATGCTAATGGGGCAGCATAGCGTCGAAAGTCTTGGTTTTCGATTGTTGCTGTTGCGACGCCCCCGGATACCGCTTTCAGCGAAATCGCAGCGAAGCGCGCAGGGCTCGCGGCTGTTCGGCTTCTCGACATGCCAGAGCGAGACGCTCCAGATATGACTTGTTGGGCTGGTCGTGCGCTACGGCGCGGATGTTTGCGTCGCCGTGCAGCTCAGGTCCTTCCTGAGGACGCATTGTTTCCGCCTTCGCAGAAATGTCGCCGTCGTGATCCTCATATCGAGCTCCTTTGGGGCGCCTTGCACTGCCGCGGGGGCCTGTTTGGCTTCGGCGGGCTGTCTGCTGCACGCAGGCGCATTCGGTCTTGCAGGATATGGCGCGTCATCGCAGAGATGCGCTGCACAGCGCGCTCATGGGCGCAGGTGGCCCCGCGCTCCCGCAGTGTCCGGCGCAATCTTCAATCGACCTCCAGCGGTCGGCGCTAGCTCTAACGGTCGCGCCAGCATCCCAGTCTGCAACGCATGCGTGGGCAGGGTCAGGACGTTCGCACGCGGGCTTTGCATCGCATGCCCGCGCATCTACGCGGCGGCCCGCTTCATCGGCGGCTAGAGCGCAGGGGCAAGGAGAAGCAGAGAGGCGCCAAGGGCAGAGGCGACGCCGGCCAGGGCGCGGAGGGGCGCGGCAGCGCTGGAAAGCGCGCGCGTGTGAGCCCGAGACAGACAACACACCGGCTAACTAACAAACCTTTAACGATTTTCTGTTCAGACGAACTGGCAACAAGCAGCTGTTCATTGCTCTTGCACGGGGGCCGCTTCTCATGGTGCCCGACGGCCGACGGTGTCCGCGGGCCCTTGGAGGAATGGAAGGAGATCAAGATGCCCGGGGGATACGAGCAGGCGGTGCAGCTTTCCAGGGGACACCGAGGAGGTGGCCAATGTGCAGCGCGCGCAATGGCAACGCCACGCCGAGCAGCGCGCAGAATCGCACGACGTCTTCGAGACATTGAGGAAGCGATATCACGGATCGTTTGGCGTTCTTCAACAAACAGAACAGCAGAGGCCTGAGACCACGCCCGCCACGCATCTCGCCACCGACATGGTCGCCCTTCCCGCGGCGTAGCCGGGGGCGCACACAAATAGAGCGCGGCGCAACTTCTAAATCGACAGCGGAACCGCAAACATTGGAAAGTGCAGCATTGCAAAACCGGTGGCAGCAGTGTTGATGTAGACTAATCCTTGGCAATTTAGCTGTTTTCGGCACTCAGCGCCCATTGTGGATTTCAGTTGCGCGGGCGCGCCGTGCTCATTAGTTCGTCGAGCTCGCTCCGAGCTTACTCCCATAAGCTGGTATGCTGATTGGGGCCGCGCATCGCCACTATATTCCGTGCCGCGGAACCCCGGCGGCGGCGGCGGCGTTGGCGGCGGCGACGACGACAAAATGATGAGGATGGCGGTGGTGGTTGTGGTGGCGATGACGATGGCGGCGGCGGCGGCCGTGACAGGGTGATGATTTTGATGGGGGGTCGGCAAAGGAGGAGGGAGGAGAAGGGATGACAGGGGAGGACAAGCTAGGTGCGCTCGCGTCATATCTGACGTCCTACACTCCCCTCCCGTCACGTAGCATGGCGCAGATGGCTTCCCTCTTCGCACAACTGGATGTCGCAGCACGGCGTAGCATCACATGGCATGGCAGGGTGTTGGAGATTAGCGCGTAGCCTGGCATAGCAGCATCGCATGGCGTGGAGACGCCCCCAACGTGGAGGGGGCTGCTGCGGTCCAACCAATCAAAGCATCGACAACGAATGTGGCATCACTTCTGATGGTTTCTTCGGGAGGCCATTCTTTATATTTGGGGGCCTAGTTGGACGGACCGAAAACCATGCCGTGATATGGCACTGGAAATGTTGACGCCAGCGCTGCAACGGAAGCGCGGTTCGGAATAGGGCGGAAACGCGGACATGATGCCACCATTGCAGCGGGAGCACGATTCCGAACGAGCGGTAGCCCGAAAATGAGGCCAGAGCTTCAACAAAAGCAGCATTTTGAAAAAGCAAGCGCGGAAGCGCGGAAATGAGGACGCGTAGCCTAACATAGCATGGCGTGGCGACTACCCGCAATGGGGGGGCTTTTGTTGCCCAGAAGGTCAACGAATCGACACCGAATGTGGAATCACTTCCGCTGGTTCTTTCGGAGGGGGTGGGGGGCATGTTTTTGATTATGGTGCCTACTTGGCAGGATCGAAAACTATACCGTGGCATGGCGCTGGAAATAATGACGCCCACGAGGCAGCGGGAGCACGATTCGGAACGAACGGAAACGTGGAAATGATGCCAGTGTTGCAGCGGAAACTCGATTCGGAACGAGCGGTAGCCCGAAACTGAGCCCGAACATGATCCCGATTCTGAGAGCAGCATTTGACAAAAAAAAACTAACAACAACAGCCACAACACCAACAAAAAAAACACAACAACAACAACCAGCAACATGCGGCAGCGCGGAAATGAGGACGCGTAGCCTGACATAGCATGGCATGGCGACGCCCACAAGGTGAGGGGGGGCTTCTGCGGCGCAGAAATCAACGAATCGACACCAACTGTGGAATCATTTCCGATGTTTTTTTTTTCGGAGGGGTATTTCTTTTTTTGCTGGTGCCTATTCGGAAGGATCGAAAACCATGCCGTGGCATGGTGCTGGGAATAATGACGCCAGCGCTGCAGCGGGAGCACGATTCGGAACGACTGGAAGCGAGGAAATGAGGCCAGCGCTGCAGCGGGAGCTCGACTCCGAACGAGCGGTAGCTCGAAAATGAGGCCAGCGATTCAGCGAGAACAGCATGTCGAAAAGAAACCCAAACAAAAGCCCATTTCCCGGGAATCCTGTCTGCAAATAAACAGTACGCGGAGGGGGGCTGGCCATGTCCCGGACGCCACCAGGGGAGAGAGGAGAGTAGTAATCATGTTGATTCATTGTGTAGTGAGGGAGGGAAGGGCGGAGGGAGGAAGGGAGGAGGAGGAGGACCAGGGCCTGGCCAAGTCGTGCAACCTAGGACGGGAACACGGGCCCACACAACATACATTTGGACAGGTAGCAACTATAGCATATGTCTGCCTGTGCTGGGTTGGCCCGTGTTCCGCGAGGGTCCACGACAATTCTCTTGAATCTTACCATTCGCTACTTTGCCATTGGGCATCTGGAAAGAGCTAAATAATGTGCATACCATGGCAGGGGGGCTTACTGACACCTGGTGCCCTGGTGCCCTTTGAGTTCGACGGTTTTTCCAGAGACTGGCGCTGATTATTCTGGCCCCTCTCTCGCCTAAGTCGCGAACAGCATTTCTTCCGCAGGCTGTACATAATCCGCAAATAGCGCAGCAGTTTGCACAGCGTGAGACCTCATGGGAGGGGCACGGGGAGGATAAGGAGGAGGGATGGGAGGAAACTAATGAAAAAAGAGGAGGAACGAGGCGGAGATCATGAAGCTGTAATATGACACTGCCAAAACGGCAACGGTTACGCCGACGAATCTGACGATGACGTCTGCGTAGCTTGGACGCAGCGGCAGGTGGCTTGGATCCCTGGGCGCGTCCGCGCCAGCGTCGTTGGTGTACTTGCCCTCACTCATGGCCACGTGCGAGAACTACGAGGCGCGCCGGGGATGGGGAGCTCGAAGAGCGGGAGATAAGGGGGGGAGGGTATTGGGAAAGAGGGGATGGAAAAGGAGGACAAGGGGGCGGTGGAGGGGGCGGAGGGAGGAGGAGGAGGAGGAGGAGGAGGAGGAGGAGGAGGAGGAGGAGGAGGAGGAGCTGGAGGAGGAGCTGGAGGAGGAGGAGGAGGAAGAGGAGGAGGAGGAGGAAAAGAAGGTCTGGCCCAGAGAGTTTGGGCAGCCCTTCAGGCGGGCACATTTTGTGTACTGTACGAGGGGCCAGACCTCAGGCGTGCACACACTGTACATCCTTTTTTACATTATTTGTTCAATTGTGTTGCCGCGACACACACTACGGAGAAGGTAAAGGAAGAGTCTTGGCACCGGAGAAAGAGGACCAAGCGAACCCAAGCTCGGTTCTTACTAAGAGCCCTAGCCGCGCAGGACCTACTGCGACGACACCACAACTCGGGTAATATGACGGGTAAGACGTTTCAGTGCGCTCGCAACAGCGGGCCTGGTGTGAAGTGGGATTGCTTACGTTGTGGAAGGTACGTCAAGGGACACCACTGGCGGTGTCTATGTGGACAGGGCTACGGTGCTAACCAGATGGAGGAGCGCAAAGCAGGTGGGCCTTTCGCCCATGCGAGGCGCCAGCAACAAGCAGCACAGCGTGAGCCCAGCCGTCCGCGCCAGAACAATCATAATCAGGAGAAGAAGGCCATACAGCAAGTCATCAGTCGTACGATCGCAGCCTCTCGAGCGGAGGCGATGTCCCATAACAGTTTCATCGAGCCGCCGTCCGACACAAAGGAGCTCAAGACATTCAAGGCCAACGTCCGTCAGCGTTTGGATAAGTCAGCGCTATTCGTGATCGCGGGCAAGGGAGTTAACAACGGGTGTGACGATGTCCAGCAGGACTTAGGGGTGCTCAAGATGATGCACAACAACACGGACACAGTCACTCGTCAGTTCCACGTCCTGAGAACCAGTCGTGACAATACGATCGAGAAGATCAAGGGCATTCGCGGTAAGGTATGCGACCTACTCGATGAGGAGAAGAAGGCAGACGACGAGCTCAGCAAGATAAAAGGCCAACATCGCGGAATTGGAAGAGTTAGAAACGAATGAAGATGACGAGATGCAGGACGTTGAGAGGCAGCCAGAGCAGCACACGATACATTCGCCACGCTAGCACCCAGCAGGCGCGGCGCCGCCAGCTAAGGCCGTGCCTCCAGCGCCGTATCGGGCAGCAGCTGCGACGGCAACGGGTGCTACGCTTGGAGGAATTCCGACCCAGCACATCCCGCCGCCGACGCCGATGCAGGGCATTCCACCACCGCCGTCGAACGTGCCTACGGGCGCGCCAGGCATGCAGGAGATGACATTTTTGATGTATGCCATGATGAAGGTTCAGAAGCAGCAGCTCCATAAGCTCGAGCAGATCACCAGCCACATGGCCCCGCCATCGGGGTTTACAACCGGGGGGGGGCTGCGGCTGCAAGCTCCGCCCAGATCCTGCCCCCGACGGCAGCAGCATTTTCGCCAGTACCGCCTGCGCCAGTCGCAGCGACGCCGCCAGCGAAGAGATCATCGGCATCCCCCACTCCCTTCGGGCCAGCCAGGATCGCCTCGCGATCTACCTATCCACCTGGTCAGCCGACGCCAGTTGGGGGTCTTCCCACGCCCATGGCAGCTCCCACAGCGTTCGAGCCGATGGCCGAGGCAACAGAAGCAGCTATTTCCCAGCCAGTGGATTCCAGCACGGGTGTTTCAGCGCCCTTTGCAGAGATGAAGGCGAACGAAGAGTGGTTCCAGCACGGGTGTTTCCAGTGGCCGATATCGCCAACCCAGCCGATGGTCAACACTCAGGAGGACCCGTTAGTGATTCCGCCAGTGTTTTCAGTGACCGAATTCACCCCTGCGCCGTCGGCTCAGGAGGAGCTCGAGATGGCGTTGCAGAAGCAGCAAGAGATGAAGGACGAGCTAGAGAGCGCGGGCGCGGACGGGAGCCCCACCAAGAGCGATGCCGACACCAAGGGCCCCCCGCGGAAGGAGCCCGGGAAGGCCTGAGTAGCACCACTCACAGGGGCCCCAGAAGTGGCCAGGGCAAAAGCGTCACCTGGGGCAGTAACCCAGTGTTTTTCTTAACGTCTGATGGGGTCCCAAGAGTGTCTCCTCCTCCTTCCTCATTAAGGCCCTTGGGCTCATCTTCAAGAGGTAGTGCTCAGAGATCCACCGGGGGCCCCTCTCAGACGAACCAGTCTTGTCATTGTTGTTTTGACCGGCCCCTGGGTGACAGGGGGTTTGCGGACCAGAGTCAGCTTGCGCAGGATAGCCACTTTAATAATGCGGAGGCTCACGCGTCAGCCATAACATATGAACATGCAGCCTGGCGTCACCTTGGCCAGGCTACTGATTGTACATATCTTTTGCTCGACGCATGCCCGCGGGTTTGTAAGGCTAGTTTCGATCATTTGGGATTGACGCACCAATGCCAGTCACTCGAGTTTCTAGACAATCTGGAAATATGCCATACCGAATGGGAAATTCAGTTGCGCCGAGGCGCCTGGGTGCTAGTGTGCGCCCTGCCCGACTGGGATGCATGCACCCCCCTCTCTGAGATTGTTGATCTTGCTGACTCACCGTCTTATCTTACAGGTAATCCTCAGAGGGGGGGGGGGGGGGGGGAGACTGTTTCTGTTCCTTGTCCGAAGAGACGCAGACAGCGCAGAGCCAGGCGTCGGGTACCCACACCTCGAGCTCGCGCAGTGCTGCTCTCGGGTTTTCGGCGAACGCTCGCCCAATATCGTTCGTGTTGGCCCAGGCCCTGCTGCTCACTCTGATCTCCATGGGACTTGGTCTTGATTCGGGTAAGCAATTTCGTTTCTGCGACCGGGTTGTTGGAGGCATTGGAGCAGCAGCTCGCCCCTCAGATGGGCGAGGCCTAGTCAATCTTCGAGCTTGTACTTGTTTCAACTCTCACAGTGCAATCGGTTGGTCTAACGACAGATTTCAAGCTGGTTTGAACCCCGTGTTGTTCTATCTGCCTGAGCAGCAGCCCTTTCACCCTTCCCTCTCCCTGTCTGCTCATTCACCATCCCTCCCTATGGAGCCTGCGCGGCGATCGCGACCCAGACGCGCATGCCGCCTTGGAGGGCCTTGTGTCCTGTTCCGGGAATAGGTCCCTACCGTGTTTGTTGTCTTCCAGCGCCCCACCCTTCGTACCGGTCAGTCCTTGGCCAGTAAGGCTTCCCATGGGGTGCCTCGGCCAGGTTAGGATGCTGCGAAGTGCCCATCCTGTCTTGTCTGCCTCTGCCCCCTGCTTCCACCTTGGGCTAGGGGCTAATCTAGGTGTTTCGGATGCCCCTGATCTGTGCCCGCCCCTGCCAAATGGCGGCCCCCCTGACGTCGTGGCCCTGGCCCTTCAGCTGGCCCCGCTTAGGCAGGGAACTTGGGCCAAACTGCACATCTACACATATGGGTCAGTAAAGCTCCAGTTTGACGAGCAAGCCTCCTGGGCAATGGCGGTCACCGCGGAAGAATCCAAGGGATTCTCTTTCCAGGGGCGGTGGGCGCGTGGACTTGCACAGTCGTGCAGGGCAGGGGCCAGGGCGACGGGCACCACCGGCGCCGAAAGCGAGTATGCGGGCGCGTACTGGGCCGCCATCTACCTCCTCAGCGACCCAACCGCGGTCGAGGCTTGGGTCGAAACTGATTCGATGAATGTAGCAAGGGGGCCCAATGGCTTTGCCACTCCGCTACGCCATGGCCGCATTGGACGTCAAACGTGCGCACTGTGGGCCATCCTTCGGCAGAGGCGCAAGGCCCTCGTTAGGCGCGTCAATGGGCACGCGGGGCACCCCTGGAATGCCCTGGCTGACTGGCTGGCTGGCGGCGTTCACGATGGCTCCGCAGTGAGCCCCTCGAGTTTACCGAGCATGGGTTACCCCTAGAATGGGCGTGGCTGGGCTGTGCGCCCGAAGCGGTCAGAGCGACCTTCCCTAAGGCACTTGGTGGATCACCCACGCCGTTGCCCTCTTGCAGGGCGGAGGTATCACATTTCGATGCGCCACTCGCCCCGCAGGTAGCACCTGGCCCCCCCGAAGCAGTCCGAGTTAACATAAACATGGCACAATGCAATGCCAGATCCACTGCTTCCTACAGGGTCTGGGGGCAGGCGGGCAAGCAGCGCCGTGCGAGGGCCAAGTCCATTCGTATCCAAATGGCCAGTGCCAAGATTCACTTAGTTGGAGCCCAGGAGGCCCGTGCCCCCGTCGGTTCCAGGGTCTCGGATGCTTATTTTTAATTTTTCCTCGGGATGCACTTCAGTAGTCTTGGGGTAGAGCTCTGGCTGAACACCCAACACCTCTACGCCAAAGTCGGGCAAAGGGAACTCACCTTTACCAAGAGACATGCGAGAGTGCTCTACCGATCGTGTCGGTCTCTTTTTGTTCGCATCAATGCGCCAGCCTTTGCAGCAGTCGTCGCGGTGGCACATGCTCCACACTCCAAGATCTCGGCTGCCAAGCGCAGCGGATTCTGGCAAGACTTTGAGAAGTGTGCATCAGAGTGGCCGCCTGACATTACATATTGACGCCAACTCCCGCGTTGGTTCCGTTTTGTCAGGCGCGGTTGGAGCGGCTGCGCCTTGCCCAGAGCAGGATGCTCAGGGAGCCAAGTTCCATGAATTTGATCTGAAACATAATTTGAGGCTTCTTAACACGCATATTCTCTCTAGTGGCGAAGGTGCGACCTTTGTCACTAACAAGGGTAATCAACACATAAAACACCGCATTGACTATATTGAAACGTCCCCGGGGTTTCACGCGTGTGCCAAGAGGTGTGAAGTGCGCGCGTCCTTTGACAATGGCTGTCATGTTCGTGACTTCTTCCCCCTCCTGGCAGCCTTCCAGTGGTCAGCCGATCACCGCAGCACGCAGGCGCCTCGCCGAGTGGCTTTGGACCCCCATAAGTTGGACGACCCCGCCCGTGTTGAAG